TTTTAGATATGTTTGCCACCTTCGGGGATAGGGAGAGAGAGAGAGAGAGAGAGATTTTGGTCCCGCTTTATTTAGATAGATAGATAGATAGATAGATAGATAGATAGATAGATAGATAGATAGATAGATAGATAGATAGACGGGATAAAAATATAACAATAACATTGACTTGAAGGCAGCAAAAAAACCTAAAAGTCCAGTGCCTCAATCATCCTCCTAGGATGTCCCAACAACCATCCACAGGTTCGCACCACTCTTACCCAGGCCTGGGTAAAGAGCCAAGTAAGTCTTGATGGCCTTCCAGAAGGCTAAAAGGGTGGGGTCCTGCCAGATTGCTGTGGGGAGAGTGTTCCACAAGGTAGGGGCAGCCACGGAAAAGGCAGTTTTGTGTAATAATAGCAAACCTGTTACAACCTCATATTTTAGAACTAATTTTCTGGTTTTAAGTCTTTAAATCACTGAACTAAATAGGGGTTGGAAAATGGCTACAGTCAAATTGACTTTGTTGGAAACTTCACTTCTAACAAAATATGGTTAGAATCAGAAAGTAAATCCAGTAATAATCACTTCTCCACAAGTATGCTTTGCAGTGTAGCCTTCAATTTCTCACGTAACTGTATCTATGGTTGGGGCCTGCATTAGCTTCTCTTTCTTCCAAGCCATCTCAATCTTGACCTGTCATGACCTTATTATTCCAGTCTTTGCACTCTTACAGGAAAGAACTCTTATTGTGTTGCGTTTTTGTCATGGAAATTAGACTGCATTGACTACATATTTTCACCTGTGACCCATATTGTTTTAGCAAGTAGCCAACTCTATGTAGTTCTAAAGAGCAGTCAAGCAGCATAACTTGTTTTTACACAGGGGAATATATCTGTAAAATAAACTACTCCTTATTCTTTCCCATGCTGTCCTTTGGTTAGCTGGAGTAAGTCTCATTCCTCTCCCAGATAATTTCCCACAATCCCTTGTGAGGTCATCTGAGAGTGGCACTTTTGCACATGAAAAACTGGGACCGTATTTAAAGGAGTATAATAGCCCTCTGCCTCCATTCGAGACCTCACACATTTCTGAGCTTTTAACTACCTTCCTCTGGCAGAATGGACAATGGTAAAAATAAGAAAGAGTTGTGGTACCTTAAAGACTAGCCAATTTGATTATCACGTAAGTTTTCATGGTTCACAGCCACTTCAATGGATGAATGCAGGAAATTCCTGTGAGAGCAACAACAGTTGTAGGGAGAGAAAGCAGGTGGTGAGAATAGAATTACATTAATGTACAAGAGAGAGAGAGAGAGAAAATAAATTAAGTAGTGGGGTATATTCTTATGTGGTCCACACAGCAAAATCAACAAAGAATATTGTGGCTGCTTAAAGACCAGCTACTCACTTACTGCATGAGATTTATAAACTCCCAAATAGTTTAAGACATCTTTGGAAACAGGCAAAAATATGTAGCAGCAGAAAACTTTCCACATCTAGTAATGGCCAAGCTACAAAGTTTATGGCTACCACTCTGGGGTAAACTAATTGTGTCTTGCTTCAAAAATCATGGTTAAAAGACACCTGGTTAAGTGTGGTATGTGAACATTTTTATAAATCGGGTTACTGCCCCTAAAAAACAAAATATTGCAAAAATGGACCACAATAAATCAAGCTACAAGTTCCCATGCTAGATGTTGTTCATTCAGTTGTGCCAAGTTACTTTGGTATTTTCTGGCAAAAATAGCTGAATCAGTCTGGTTCCATATGTTGTACAAGATTTGTACTGGGATAATGGCAGCTTTTTCATTTATTCCTGTACTATACAGTTACTTCCTGGGGCCTGGCTTAGTGTTTCTGATGGAGGAAAGTAAAAATACTGCAATAGCAACAGAACCATAATCAATGGCTAGGATTTATTTCTGTTGTTTCTTCAAAGGACATCATGTCAATAGTCGAACCCATTATTCTGCTACTATGAATATAGCATCGGTCTTTTTGATAATGGTCCATCAAGTCAGAGTGGACCCTTAGCAACCCAAAGATAGATTTTCTCCAGGAGGATCTGTCCCTGAACTGGTCCTTCAGGTCTTCCTATGGTGCACCCATCGCCACTGTAATTGAAGTACCAGTCTTTGGAAAACAATTAGTACAGTCAATCCTCCCTAGCTCCTATTCATTTGAATATTACATGTGACATTGTAACCATCTGTAATACTGAAATACTTCAAGAGTATTTCTCACTCTGCCAGTAATTTTTAAATTCTGACAGCTGAAATGTTTGCATTTTGTTGTTTGAACTGTTTTGCTTACCAGTATTGATTAGTGGCCAAAGTACAGTGCATTAAATGGTTTTAGTGAGTTTAACGTAATGGATGATGTAACAGTAGAAACCCTATTATGAACCTTCCCCAGAGTTTAGTTATACACAACTGCCACCTACTGAACAATACATAAATACTACAATTCATTTGTACTTAATCTGTGACTTTAATAGAAGTAAGCTATTTGGAACAAGTATATTTTTAAATAGTTAATTTTAGGTAGATCTGATCTTAAGCATGTCTCAGCAGGGGGCAACACCTGGGCAAAATTAGGTGGGCTTGGAAACTAACTAGGTTGGGCCGAGTTAGTATTTTAATGGGAGATTAGCAGAAAGCATCAGGGCTGTAGGCCAGACTGGGAAGTTGAAAAATATTAGGGAAGAAGCTACTTCCATACGGTTGCCAAGAACATTGCATAAATATGCCCATGGAATCACCAGTTGAGGTTGGTTCAGGAGAGTCTTTACTTTTACATTATTAAATTTAGGTGTGGTGCTTGATATATGACTATATTTAAGAACTAACTAGAGAAAAAATCAGTTTTTTAATTAAAATTTTTTAAATTAAATTTTTAAAACTTAATTCAGTTATGCCAATAGCTGTGAACCAAGGGGAGAGTAGTCATCTAGGCTTTATGTTGCAGTAATGAATTCTCATGTCAGATCTAACTTACTAATCCACAAATTGCAAAAAACTTACTGTATTAAATAAAATATGCTCTAAAGACATTTGGTTTGTCTAATTATATGCTAAGGTTCCTTTGGTTCTCTAAATGCAAACGTGAAAAATTCAGGCTGGGTGTTTTGTAGGTATGTCCGATACAAAAGTGCCTAAAAAGCAGTGTGATCTCTGCAACTCTTATTCACATTATAAAAGATAGAAGTGTCAGGAAAATAGTATGCTATGTTTGTTACAACTCTCATTGTTTTTTCCTTTGTCTTACTGCTTTTTTAATACTGTTATCTAAATTTTAAAAAAACAAACCCACAAGGTAATAATATGACCTCTCTCAAACCTTGCAGTGGGGGGTATTTTTCTCATATCTGATCTAGCTTCACTATTTAAGATCATCCATCCTGTCTCTTTGTAGGAATCCCAAGTAACTATAGACATTATACAATCTATTTAAAATTAGTCTTAAGTTTCACCTGTAGGGATATCATATACTTGTCTGAGCACAAAAGTTTTTACTCACATTGTACAGGATACTGTGATTTTCATCAAATTGATTTTCATCAAACTTAGTGTAAACTGGACATTCACTTCAGAAGTTTGCACAAAATGTGGCAGCTAAATTACTAAATGAGACATAGTATGAGGATTGGTTCCTCATTATAAACGGTTGCAATGGTTGCCACAATTGCTTTCTTACGCATTTTAAACTTCTGGTGTTTCTGATAACTTTAAGTCCTGAGCTATTTAGGATGGAAGGACTTTTTCTCCAATT